TTCCCAGCCGTCGAACTTGCCGGTAAGTGTAGCCAAGGCCTTAGTGCTGGCAGTTTATCCACCTTAGTTTCCTGTGTTTAAAGTGCCAGCTGTGTCCTGACGTCCATTCTTCACCACCGGTCCTGGTCCGCTCCCTGCACTGTTTAGGTTCCACAGGCTTGGCGCCTTCACAACTGCCCAGACCTGATTCACTTGGTGCAGCTCTAAAGATCAATCTTCCTGATTTCAGATTCTCTGCATTCCCAACTTCTGTGCTTTGCAGGCTATACAAAGCTTAGGAACCCCAGAGGGTCATGACCTCAGATCCCTTTTATAAAACACACCCCATCCAAAACTAAAAAGGCCTGTGGAGGGGAGCTCTTTCTTAGGTATCGTAGAGGCTAGACTGGTAGTTAGTGAGACTTTGCAAAGCTCTCCCTTGCCTGCCATAGTCCCCCTGACTGTCTCTGCATTCTCTGGTTTATTGTTTGATGTGGAAGATCCTTCCATGTTGAACACGGCTGCTCCTTCACTAGTTTATTATCTAGCAAACACAGCTGGCTCATATGCTTGTATGTCTGAGGTTCAATTGGGTATGTGTGTATATATGTAAATATACAGTGTGTGGGGTGTAAGTGCCACAGTGGAGTTAGGCTCTAAGGCTCCTCTGTAGCATTGTCCCCCCCACCCCCACAATCCTCGGCATTTGTAACCCATGGAGCCAGATCCTGTTCCTGTTAGAGCCTGGCAGAGCTCCCCAAGGGTGGGGACTCCACCCCCAGAATGTCCAGCTCACTGTCCCAGCTGGATCTTGAAGGCTGAACGTCCTCGCTCAATCCAGCTGCAGCAGAGGAGGGGTAGAGGTCAACGGGGGAGGGGGGTTCCCCAGCTCAGCCCCTCTCCGCGCTGTGTGGCCAGCCCTTCGTGGGCCGGTGTTGGGATGAGTCTTGGTGTCCAGCCAGGGGTGTCTTCCCCTGTGGAGGCTGATCTAAAGCAGGGGGAGCTGGGACCAGCCTTTTCTGCTCTTCCCCCATGGCCTGGATGCCTTGGAAAGATGAAACTAGCCAAACAGCCTCTGCATGGCTGAGGTTAAACTGAGCGCTGCTGGAAAGGTGGGTGAGTCCCAGGAGCACCATAAACCAGAACATCATGGGCCAAATTCCACCCCTAGTGCATTCCCTCTCTAGGGAGTCAGTGTGGTAACAACCAAGGCATGAATTCGCTGGGCTAGGATGATGCAACCTCACCCAGCAGAGATGCTGGCAAAAGCCCACCCAGCAGAATCAAACCTCCCGGGGTGCATGTGTTGAATAGCGACCCCGCCCCCCCCCCACAACAGCTTGGTGGAGAACAAACCCTGAGCCATGTGGCTAAAAGGGCAGATTGGCTTTCAGAGCCTCTGGTTGCCTGGTGCATAGATGCTGGAACTAGGGGTGCTGCTGCACCCCCTGGCTTGAAGGGGTTTCCATGTGTTGTTTTTTTTTAAAACCTTTTGTCAGCCTTGCAAAACTGTAATGAAAACAAACCATCCCATTCACAAACTCTCCTTGCCTGCTCCTACCAGTGTTCATGATGAAAAAAAATGAGAGTATTGTACTTATTCATACACACACACCCCAACCTCCAAAAGGCAAATTTAGGCGTGCAGAATTTTGTGTGGCTGCTTTATTCTCATTTCCGCATTAATGAGGAGACTGAAAATATTGTCAACTAAAAGCAGCATAGTTGCTACCTTGGGGCCTAATGATGTGGGGGGGAAGGGGCAATGGGCACTGCAGAGTTGCCCTGTGTGAACATAAGAACATAAGAATGGTCGTACTGAGTCAGATCAAAGATCCATCTAGTTCAGTATTCTGTCTACCGACAGTGGCCAATGCCAGGTGCCCCAGAGGGAGTGAACCTAACAGGTAATGATCAAGTGATCTCTCTCCTGCCATCCATCTCCACCCTCTGACAAACATAGGCTAGGGCAGTGGTTCCCAAACTTGTTCCGCCGCTTGTGCAGGGAAAGCCCCTTGTGGGCCCGCTTGTGTACTTGCCGCGTCCACAGGCTTGGCCACTTCCAGCATCTCCCATTGGCCTGGACCGCCACTGGGAGCCGCGATCGGGAACCACTGGGCTAGGGACACCATTCCTTACCCATCCTGGCTAATAGCCATTAATGGACTTAACCTCCATGAATTTATCCAGTTCTCTTTTAAACCCTGTTATAGTCCTAGCCTTCACAACCTCCTTAGGCAAGGAGTTCCATAAGTTGACTGTGAGCTGTGTGAAGAAGTTCCCTTTTATTTGTTTTAAACCTGTTGCCCATTAATTTCATTTGGTGGCCCCTAGTTCTTATATTATGGGAACAAGTAAATAACTTTTCCTTATTCACTTTCTCCACATCACTCATGATTTTATATACCTCTATCATATCCCCCCTTAGTCTCCTCTTTTCCAAGCTGAAAAGTCCTAGTCTCTTTAATCTCTCCTAGAATGGGACCCATTCCAAACTCCTAATCATTTTAGTTGCCCTTCTCTGAACCTTTTCTAATGCCAGTATATCTTTTTCGAGATGAGGAGACCACATCTGTATGCAGTATTCAAGATGTGGGCATACTGCCCTTATATAAATCCATGGTAAGATTTGGGGGGTGGCATTTTGCCATCCTCGGCAGCAATTCGGCGGCGGGGGTCCTTCCGCTCCGCGTCTTTGGGGCGCTTCAGCGGCGGGCCCTTCACTCGCTCCAGGACCCACCACTGAAGCGCCCCGAGGATGCGGAGCGGAAGGACCCCCGCCACCGAATGCTCTGAGGAGGAGCGCTGCTGGCTACAGCGGCAAAAAGCCTTGCGCCGCTCAATGGCGTACCATGGATTTATATAAGGGCAGTAGGATATTCTCTGTCTTATTCTCTATCCCCTTTTTAATGATTCCTAACATCCTGTTTGCTTTTTTGACCGCTGCTGCACACTGCGTGGACATCTTCAGAGAACTATCCATGATGACTCCAAGATCTTTTTCCTGATTAATTGTAGCTAAATTAGCCCCCATCATGG